AGACACTCGGCGACGTCGCCACGAATATAGGTTAATGTTCGGGGCGCGACGGTGGCCGTCGCGCTCTCGCTCTCTCTCTCTTTCTCTCTCGCTCTCATTCGCTCACTCGTTCATTCGGTTCCTCGCTCGCTCGCTCATATTTGCGTCGTCGCGACGTGACGTTACGGGGCCGTGGGATGCTGCCGGCGACAGCGACAGCGACGGCGACGACGGCGGCGGCGGCCACCTTGGGGGGGCCTCTCGCTCCCGTTCTCCAGGCGAGATCGTCTCGCGTTCGCCGAACCGAGTCGCGCGGAAATTTAGAGCAGACTCCCAATATCATTGGGTATTCCCGGGGACAGGGATGAGAGGATCGGAATTGCGGGCAAAGAGCGCGCGTCCGCGAATACGCGGACGATCCACTCACCAGTGCGAAGAAATTCGTGTGGCAGTCCTCCAGGCTGGCGCCGTTGGTTTGATGCGACGGATGCGTCATGGCTTCTCCATCGTACGCCGTACACTCATTTAGTCTAACACTCGAACGGCAACTCCGTCGCCGATCTTATCCCGCTTGCACGAAGATTCCGCGGTACGAGAGCGGGCTAAACACCGCGCTTTATTCACTCGGATTCGTACATTTAGGAGGGTTTTCACTTCTCAATGGCGACCGTAAAATGGCGGCGGTCGGCGATGGGAAACAACAAGCGCAGCCGCCGGGTGCGCCCCCTAACGCTCACTGCCGTAGTTCTAGTTGCCGTCGACGGCTACCGTCGCCGCTGCTGCTGGTGCTGCTGCCGCTGCTGCTATTGACACCGCGACGGCGACGACGACGACGACAACGAGCGTGAAAAAGATGGCGGCGCTCATCAGGCATGGCTCGTTTATCAGCGCGTTTAAAAGTACATCGGCTATCCTCGCCGCCAGCACCACGGTCAGTGAATTTCTAATAATTCAAGACGCCACGCGCGTCTACACACACAAACACCATCCAGCCATCCATCGGACGTTACGCACTCGCGTCGTCGAGCGCGCGAGTCACACGTTCGTGGGCGACGGCACACGCGTCACTACTCACCGAGAATACCGAGATCGTCATTTCTTTCCGCTTTTTTCTCCCCACAGGTGACCGCGCGTCGTGGAATCGCCCGGTACAAGTACAAGAAGCCGAGGAAGCCAACGGTGACGGTGAAGGCGCGGATCGACTCTGCCGGGGTATCGCTCGCCGCCCGCGGGTAAGCGCGGTCGCGTCCGACACGTCGTAGCGCCTCGCGACCCTCGCGTCGCGCAGCCGTACGGTGAAATTTCCCGTTTGCGTTTGCGTTTTGCGTTACGTAGCGGCGCTGCCTGACTAACGGTGGCCGCACCGCGGCCATATTAACCGTTCCTACCACCACTCCCCCGCGCCTCGGCCAATCGCCCGACGAATCTGACAGGTCCTCAGGGCCGTGCGTCCTCGCTTCCCCCGCCCCTCTTCCACCCCCGTGACGCCGCGCTCCGACTTTTAATGTCCGTTTCTACCGATGTAGATTCACTTTAATCTTGGATCAACTTTATCTTGCTCCTCATCTTTCTTTAATTTTTACAATTGGAAAAAATGAAAAGTTAGTTGAACTGAAATTAATGTTAATTTATATTGGTGGAAAAGACCCATTAATGTCCACTTTTATCATGTACCGATGTAGATTAACTTTAATCTTGGATCGATTTGCTCTTTATCGTTTTCTAATTTATACAATTAGAAAAAAATAAGGTCAGGAACCGAGATTAAACTACATTGATAGAAATGAGCGTAATTCTTAGAATCGGAGAAACATACAAAGTAAGTTACGCTGTAATTAAAGTTAATTTAAATTGGTAGAAATGGATATTAGTCCGACCTACATGCCGATTTAAAGTCGCAACGTACTAAAAATAAATAAAAGTAAAAAAGGAAAGAAAATGAAGGACCGAAGAAGAATATTCGACTGTCGATTGTGTCGACTTGTTCGCTATTTACGTTTTTATTAGTGTTTCTTTACATTCGTGTCTTTCGTCAATCTTTTTTTCCCCTTTTGATACCAGTTTAATTTTTATATACCAATTTACTATATTACCTTCTTTAATTGAAAACATTTCTGTTTTTATATTTTTTTCTTATTTCTATGTTTTTACAGAGCTTGCTGTACAATAAACGTCTTTATCTATCTATACTTCTATACCGCTGTGCGATTTATATCCATTTCTATCAGTATAGATTAACTTTAATCTCGGTTCAACTTATTTTTCATCTTTTTCTAATTCCCAGAACTAGAAAAGGATAAAGAGTTAGTTGAATCAAGGTTAAAATTAAACTACATTCACAGAAACGGGAATTGCCGAGCGAAAAATTGACCGTGCGATTTCCGCGAGTTTTTCAAAAGCGCCAGATGGGCGGGTGACGCAGCAATGGTAGACAAAAGGGTCGGTTTCAACAGAAAAATATTACATTTCTTTTCACACAAAAAATCGAACAGTATAGAAGAAACATGCGAGAAACGATTCCAATACGATCGGGTTTGTTGACTCCAAGAACGCCGTGTATATATAATTGCGGAAAAGATTCTCATTTAAATTTCTCCCCTTCTCGCAATTAACAGACAGATTAATCGACGGAGTGACTTCCCCGGATGGAGTGATCATCCGTGACGATCGCCATCGACAAGATCGATTCTCCTGGAAAAACGACGTTGAATCGAGGAGGAAAAGGTGGTCGCGATCGGCGTCGCACGGTACCCGCGACATACTAGGATTGATTATTGATTATTGTTTACGAAAGCGAACCGCCGCGGGCCGCCACGTCGTTTCGCGAATTTCGGTGCAGGGCACCCGAATGTCCCGAATACGCCGATGTTCAGCGCCGTCCAATGAGAGAAGAGGAGCGCGCGGGATGGCAGCACCGTACGGTCAGCGGGCATCGATCTCTTCCCTTCCTTTCACCGCTGCCCCTCTTTCAGGACCCTTTGTCCTTTCCTCTCACGCGTCACGACAAATTTCATCGCGCGGGAGAGAAAAAGAGAGCAAAATTCCTTTCCCGGATGCGAAAAGTGCGCGAGTCCCGAACGTTTAGGTCCTGGCAGTTGTCATTAGGTCTGTTCTTTTTGGCTGAACATTTGCACCAGTTCATCTTTCTTCCTCTTCTTTTCTGCTGGAAAGAAAAGGAAGAAAGATGAACTAGCGCAAAAGTTCAGCCAAAAAGAACAGACCTATTGGCCAATTTTAGAGAGATTTATCTTTTTTTTCCCCTCTCATTTCTTTTTCTTTTTTTCTTCTCCCTTTGTCTCTCTCTCTCTCTCTCTTTCTCAATTGTCTGGATCTCAGGTCAATTGTGCTTCTCAAAACGAGGTGAAAATTACAAAAGTGAACGAATTTATTAAAACGCTTATAATTCCATTGATCGACACCTAGTAAATTTGCTCATTTTTATAATTGTCACCTCGTTTCAAGATAATAATTAACCTGGAGGTCGAATATGTATGTCTTAAAACGAAGTGAAAATTACAAGTGAGCGAATTTACTAGAATATTTATAGTTTTATTTATAGTTTGGTCGACTCTTAATGAATTTGCTTACTTGTAAAATTTTCACCTTATTGTAAGATACATAATCGACTCCTTCTAGAAGACGAAAATTAATCCAACGAAACGCAAAAGAAGCATGAACATTTTGATGTCTCAATTTTCTAGGAGCTTTGATTACGTTTCTGTTACTCTCCCGTTGCATTTAACTTGCATTCTTATTTTTATTTTTGCCAAAAATTAACGAAACCACATTCGTGGTGTTGATATAAATAATAAGAGATCGTTTTCTTTTCACTCCTCATTTCAAAATTTTCTTTTGAACAGGTATTAAATATCATCGTGAAGAACCATCGGAATTCGATTTATTTTGTTTTGTCCATTTTCATAATGTAGATTAACTTTCCCGGTTCAACTTATTCTTTACCTTCTTTTTCTAATCCTAAAAAAATAAAAAATAAGTTAGATATAAACAGACATAAATTATTCAAGATGTTTCACACCGAGAAATCTCATGTCGCCGAATTATTATCTACGATCAATGTGAGACGCGATTGAGTCGCGATTGCGTATATTCTGCTTTCAGATTTCTGAGATCGCAAAAGTCTTACACACCCCCGGAAAACGTAGTCGAGAGAATCGACAGAATCTGCGAGAGTCAAACCATCCTCGTGAACGATGACACAAAGCTCGAGGATCCCGTTCTTCGCTTTAAGCTGTTCGTCGCCTGCGAGAAGGAGTTTAAGCATTCTGTCCCCAACTCGTTGCTTTATACCATCGAGAGTATCGGTTAGCAAACAAAAAAGTTTCTCTATCAAGTGTCAAAGATTCGTTATACTTATCAATTGAAAAAAAAAACATTCCCAAGCAATATCGAAATTGGCAAACTTTTGATACACCTTCTTATTTATTTAAAGATCCATCTTCCGAGCCCTCCCTTTCAAACTTTGATTTTCTTTTATTTTTTGACACAAAGCTCGATGATAAGAAATGACAAATATTTTACACCAACCTGACGTACGGTATCGATCAATCGACAATAATAAATAAGTGTGAATCTTGAATACATAGGGGATCTGAAGCAATTTTATTCGACATCGGTAGACAGCACGACGCCATACGAAGCGCTGAGTAGAATAGATTTGCCCAAGAATTTGCACATTCAACAGAATTATCATCGATTCCATCCGGGTGAGATGTCCCTCAGAATTTACAGAACTGTCACGCTGTTTTTCCAACGGCCCACGGACCAATGTTTGTACAGCGATAAAATTTCCTTTTTTTTCTCTCTCTCTCCAGATACCGACACGATGTTCAACGGCAAAACGGCGTTCCCGAAAAGTTCCACCCTCGTTACTGGTTTGAAATATAAGAAGAAATATTCTGGGCATACGCAGGACAATCCATGGTTGGACGAGCAGATGAAGATCTAAGGGATCATTGTTGTAAATTACAAAAACAATTGCAAAGTTGTATTATGTAAAGATAATAAACTTATTAAACACAATCATCACCCTGCCATCTTCTTCAGGTCGGGCATTCTAACGTACAGAAATAATATATACCATGCCTACCAATGTAGATTATTTTTTATTTTGATTCAATTTACTTTTCATCTTTTTCTAGTTCTAAAAATGAAAAAAAAATGAAACGTATGTTGAGATTAAAGTTTATCTATATTAATGGAAACGGGCAGTAGCCACACAATGTACGGGTTAAAACACACAAAAAACTTAAGCAATAAAATGTAAGCAATAAGCGAATTAATCAATCACAGTAGAGACTGTAAGGCTATAACATAAACAATAGCAAATTTAACATATTGATTATCTTACTTTACGTCTTACTGCTTATAAATTTTTCTGTGTGCCATGGCCCTCAGAATGATCGTGTTTAGCGCAGAACGTTTTATTCGCGTGTTGATTGGATTATACTTTTATGTCTAGAATAGTTATATGCAACCTTTTTTAAAGAGCCACTTTTAGAAATAGATAAAATCTTTTGGACTATATAATGTTTATTTTGTTTACATAAGATATGATTTTATATTTTCGGCTATATAAGTTAATGGCCACAAAAAATTCATAGATGGATCATCCGATTTATAAACTGCAGGTTGCGTATCATTGATTTACAGGAATAGTCATACGAGTATATACAGATCTCCAACGGAGGTCCTAAAAATGTCTAGGAGACATCTCTATGTTTTATGAACATCCTAAGGACCTTCCCAGAATGTCTCTCGGATAAAGTGTACTGTATAAATAGTTATTCCAGTGAAAGAAAACTTCCAATAGTTGCAAAATAAACGTACTGCTGAATCTCTCTCAGTGAAACGTTTCTGCGACGTTCTTACGATCTACGTAAGTACATCGATATTTTGTGGGAAATTTTAGTTTCTCAGGCAAGTCAGGACGTGAATTCGATGTCGTGTAAAGTACTTGGTGAGACCAAGTACATACGTGATCGCGTTACCACGGATGCAAGCCATAACTTCTCCTCGATCGACCCATCGGTCACACGTAGCAACGTGCCGATGTGGTATCAAGGCAGTAACCAACGGACGGAGCACAGCTCATTTGCGTGTAAAATACCAAGTATATACGAAAAACGGGTCATAGCGATCGCCGATCAGAATGGCTGGGATCGCAAGTGCGACTGGTCTCCTGTCCGCGCGAATTCAGCCAATTCGCAGACCGAAGCCTAAGGTGAAGATAAGAAAAGAAAAGAATATTAGCAAAATCGGGACGAGCGCCGCACGTGCGCCCCGTTTCCTTTACGTCAGCCCTTCTCTTTATTTATTCAAATATCACGTATATATACGTAGAGCGTGGAATTATCGGGTTGTACCCGAGCAGCGCCGTTCGCCCTTCGACCGTTTGCCGGCCTCTTTAATCCTTATCCTTACGGTTGCTCGGTATTGTGCAACCATCCGGCGGATTGCGAGGCAAAGGAGGTGGTTCGACGCGCTAAGGACACATGGGTAAAAAGTTCATACCTTACGTAAGGGAAAAGATAAGTGTGATATTGTAAAAAAATATTTCTACACAAGAGAGTAACATTTATATTATAAAGAGTAATATGGAACGCGTAATATGTATGATCATAATGCAAAATAATAATTGATCCTACATTACTCGCGTGGGGTGTTTCTGACATCCCAACATTATTCCCAATTTTTATTATTCTCTTTGATGATTTATAATTAAATAAAAATCGATAATATTTTGTACATCCTTTAGATAAAGACAATTGCAAAATTTTTGTAAATTATAAAACAATTTCGTTAAATGTATGTGTATAATAAATTATATAAATATAGTATTCATACATTTAAATTTGTGAGGCCGGAATATCCTAAACACTCCACGCGAATGATTAAATTAAGAGCTATCATAGATAACTATTTTAGGAAAGCTAGGGAAGAAAGTACTTAATCTCAATTGTTGTCGTCTTTCCTATAAATTACAGCGAGTTTCGTTTAGTATGTCATTTAACGAAACTCGCGCATTTTTCATGATACATTTTTCATTAGGCGTCCGAAGGGAAAGCACTTTTGCTGCCAGAGGAGATGGAAATGATACGGACGAGCCTATTAGCGATGGGTGCAGGCAGAGGTGGTGGCGAGACCGCAGCTGGAAATGTCGGAGGTGGCGGCAATGGTTACAATACTGAGATGACCGCTTCGGCGGTGCCCGAGGAGCTCTTCCGGAAATACACGGAAACCGATTCGCGACCTTTGACCCCGGCGCCCACGCTCGCCAGCGGACCGACGGCGTTAACTGGTCGCGCAGCCCAGGAAGATTTGCCGGTGACCTGCAATCCGCGCGAGCGCACCACCCTGGTTCTGGATCTCCGAACGAGCTCGCAGAACCAGCAGGTGGTCGGTGTCAGATACAGAGTCTCGGCCGACGATTTGTCGTCGCTGATGATGTCTTTCTTTCGGCCTTTGTTGTAGACAGATTGACTCATTGCGCTCGAAGATAAGTTTCCTTATCAAAGGAGAAACGATAAAGCGATCTAAGAATAATTGCAAAGATAATTGCTGTAGTTAGGATAAAATACAGAATTTTCTTACAAAAGCACTAATAAAATATACACAAAAGAGAAGGTAATTAAAATTATTGTAATATGAAAATAATAAAATATAAACAAAATAAATACGCGGAAAGAACGGTTTTTGTTGAAGGACTTAAAAATTTAACTAGATACAAATCTGAAAATAATTTAAACAGACCATTAAAATAATTATATGTAGGACATTCAAATTGGTTGTTAAAATGACAAAATTTTTTGCAGCATTATCATTGTAAATAATTATTTTGATGGTCCAATAAAATTAGTTTTTTCAGATTTATATCTGTAAATTTTTAATTTTTAGCTAGTTCAACAAAACCATTCCTTCTACATAGAGATGTAAAATATAAAAGAAAATCAACTAATTTATGCAGTAACATGTTGCAGGTAATTAAAATTAATTTATTTATAATTTAATTATTAAAATAATTAATAATTTGTGAAAGCAAATAATCCATGAAGAGATATTGTGATACTGAAAGAATACTTTAAACTTTAAACATTCCCAAACGCTTTCAACATTGAAACTAGCTTTTCAAGCTGCAAGTGATTCTTGTTTCTCTCTATTTGAAATGTCCGTTCGCGAAAGTGTTATCGACAGTTTGTTCGGGTTTTAGGAAAACGAGACGTTCAGCTGGCACGCTCTTACGCTCGAACTACCGCCAACACCTCGGAAAAGCGAAATATTTATCTGCAAGCCGACCTCACGACCGCAACATTCGTTAGCGATACCTGTGCCACCTCCTTCGTCACTTTCCTCGCCTATCCCTGAAAAATGCGAAACGGTAAGTCAATTTCGTTTCTAGAGGTAGCTACACGTGTACCTTCTTCTCTCATTTGAGACTGCTCGACATTTTAAAAATAATATTACCATCGCTTATACATCGATGAAAGAGTTCGTCCCGAAATGAGGAGGAAGAAGTCGACAGCGACAACGAGCAGCAACCAACAATTACACGAAGACGGGGAAAGCGATTACGTAAAAGAAAGTGTAGGAGGGGCTCGACTTACGGCCAGCAAACGGAAGTTCGCGATCCGCTTGAGCCTACGGTAACGCAGGTTTCGCAGATCGGAAACGGATCACGGCGATCGTCGTTAGTATCCATAAAAATTAAGCATCTGCATGAAATTACACTATGTTTATATATATATTATGAGAATATATACAAAGTCAACTGAGAATAAAAAAAAATTGATTTGTCTTAATTCTTTAAAAATTAATTCTTTGTAAAAAAAATCACGTTTTCTCTTCAATGAATTGTAACAGGCTTCACGTAAACGTCGGCGAGGTCGATGGCTCGACGTCTCCCAAGAGAACATCCGCACAAGCAACAAGTCACACGATCCCTCCGAGTTTTCTCGAACCAGACATATTGAAGCATTTGTGCAGAGAGCTGGATCGTGACAAGGTGGAGGCGGAATTCTCAATCAAGGTAGATGCTGATCTTCTATTGCCTTCGGCCAATAAAAATCTTTTCTATAAATAATTTAATTGTTTTAGAGACGAATCGCCTTAGAAGAAGCGTTACGGGTGAAAGGCGATGCATATACTTTGCGGGGATCTCGTCAAACCAGTGCCAGTCCATCGGCGGAAAACGCTCCTCGGATATTCTCCCGTCAAGCGGCGCGATTTGAATTGCTCAACAGTCAAAGTCTTTGTGGTATGCCGCACGATTGATTAATACGTATCGATACTCCAATATGTGATTTTCTACTAAAACAAGTAAAAATTATTAAACAAAACGTTCCCGCAAGCCATTATTTCTTAAAGCTTCTGTATTTTAGAATTTATAATACATCATACGCTATATAATACCTTTTCCTATTTTATCTCATCGATTGGAACTCACGACAACGTAATCGTTACAGGTTTAACGTCACTTCAGTACCTCAGTAAACACGCCTACGTCACGTCGGGAAGAAAATTGATATTCGGTCGAATATTTAATAAATTTAACGAAGAGGCGTTGCATAGCGCGCGACGCATTTCACCAAGCGATATTGAAGAAGCTCTTCGGGAAGTGGTTGGGAAGGCATTGACGGATGAGCAGCGATCTTATATAAAGTCTGTGATAGGAAACATAACTCAGCCGCTGGGATTTAGGGAGTGGTGCGGATTATGCGCCGCTGTCGAAAGGCTGCTGTGTCCTTTGCCATCGAGGGAGAACGATCCGCCAACGTGGCTCGAAAGAACAGACTTCGAAGCTCTGGAACGAAGACTCAAATCAGCCGGATCGGTAGATTTCACGTTAGCATTATTGTTGAAGGAGATTCGTGATAGATAGAATATAACGTGTTTCTTATCATATATACTCTCTTTTTCTTTATCACAGTGATCGCTAATTATAATGTTCGTATTGTGTAAATCTTACGATGAGTTTAATACGTTATAATTATTTGATGTAAGCCTAGAAAATAAAATTTTTTCACGGT